CTGACGGGAATTTGCGCTGATCTACGATCGAATCTCATCATAGATACCGATCCATCTCTGATTGCAAGCTTCTTGGAGCAACCGAGACGCTTCCATCTTATTCGAATATGATCGATTACGACGTTGCATTCAAATCATGAGTTTCCTCTTCGGAATTTGGGGGGTCGAGTTTGTCTGTGGAGCTGCCCGTAGAAATCTCCCCATGAACATCAGGTCTAAACTCCAGATTACGAATATCTAGGTATCCAAATTCCACGTTCATCCGGGATTTGAGCTCTCTCAGCCATGATGTCTAGATTCCGCTCTCATGGAGAGGTCGTCGACCGAGGATCTGTTGGAATCTGTTGATCGCGTGACGGCTCCAAGAGGGAAACCCTCGATCTCTCGAAACATTTGCCTGTTCACGGCTCCGCTGATGGTGCAAGTCGAGTCCCGAGGCGGGGGCAACGATCCTGAGTCTTTGATGTTTCCATTTGTCTTCCGGCTTCCGATTGACGGTCGGAGGGCTGTTGCACAGGAGCCTTCCCCGTCGGTTTTTTCCGATCCTGGCCTCACCCCAGCTCGATCTGATTCCTGGAACTCGGCTCTCGCCTTGAATTCTCTTCCGACGCGTATTGCGGAGCTCGAGTGTATCCGATATCGTGCGGCGGTTCCGGTCGGTACAGGGCGCGTAGGATAATTTGCACGATACATGTATCTCTTCGAAATCCGAGCCAGGGAGTAATCTTGCACATGTATTTCGGAGCTTAGCTCGAATCGAGTTCCCCGGCCGCTCGGGAAACCTTGGCTAAGCGATTCTGATGGAGGCCATCGCGAAGAAGAGGAAAATCGCTCGCACCGAGGGACCGTTCACGCCTGCTGCGATCGAAGGATCTTTTCAATGCGTCACACCAAGTCGCGGGAGCGAACTCCGTAGCCAATATGATCACTAACTAAGAGCTTTCTTGTGGCCAGGGAAGATCCGAACTCCAAAACCCTCTTGGAAGTCCAAGCGAATACCTTAGTGCGGCTCTCCGAGACGAGGATACGTATAAAGCATCGAGGTACCACCCCGTAAACAAGCGCCACCCGGCAAAGAGCCCAGAACCCTGCTCAACGGAGCCGAGCGTCCGTCCGATCCGAGGCGGCTAGAAGCAGCACTAGGTCATCCAGAAACTCCCGACTTATATGCCGTCTGGAGGAGACCTCGTCGAACCACACAGAGCTCGTAAACCTCCACACACGTATGGCGGCGGCGTGGTCGTAGGGGACGGAAGATGTTCCGAGCTGACCGCGTTCGTAGCAATAAGCGTAACCCGCTGAGATGCAAAGAGCTTCCGTTAGCTTCCAATGGGCAATCCACAACAAACTGCACACGCTACAACAGGCGAACAAGACCAAAACGTGTGCGTTGTTGCCGTCGCTGACGCCTACAGCGCGCAGACAGGCTTCCACGGAGACAGATGCGACGAAATAACATGTCAGGTAAAACACGAATGCGACCGCTGCGCCCCGAATGTGATCCGTCCGTACGGAGGATTCGGTCTGACGCAGCCTGAAAGGATAGGCCCGAAGCCATCGAGCGTCCGTCCTGTCAACTGACCCGATCTCGACATGGGATCTGCTCGGAGACTCGGCATACTGTCCTAATTGCATGTGTTCTCGATCGTCGTAGCTCATAAGTCTGAACGGGATTATCGGTCCCGCTAGCATCGGCCGCGGGCATAGGCAATACGCAACAACAATGTCGAGGGTCGAGGGAATCCCGCTGACAGCGAGGACCATCCGCACCGCGGTCTCGACCTCGCCGGATTGGATGTCGCGGAAGCTCAGCATGGAAACTACAACCCTCAGCCGAGCTTGCGTCTGGCAAGGCCAACGTCGGCGCTCCTTCGCTCCGAAAACTGTCCAGGTACGAGAGCGTTCCAATACCTATCACGGACTGGTATGCAGACCACGACGATGGCTTCGTAGCCGACGGGAGCAGGACTCGGATCACGTCGAGCCCGACCACGGCTGGAATCCACAGGTGAACAGTGTCTCTTCCAAACACAGTATAGATAAGCTCAGGGCCGGAACCACGTCTCGATGCCGTTTGTCGGAGGGATATCCGCCAGACATCGGAGCTCCTTCCCGCAGCTTGCCATCAGTAGGAGCAGCGATCGGCAGAGGGACAGCAGTCTCATAAACTACACTGTTTCAACGGGCTCGGGAGAGCGTCCCGGTATACTTCGCTCGTCTCGTAGAGCATCGTGCATACGATTGGATTGATTTTTAGAGTTTCGGCCGTCGTCGCGTCCTTGACGTTTTTGTAGCCGACGCTATCACCGTGTCTACTGCGTCTCGGACAGACACGCTATCCAGAGGCAGACGAACGGGACTGATTGGTTGTTCTTCGCGTCGGCGGATAGGTGTGGTGATCGCGAGGAAACTCCTAGATCGGTCGACGACAGGATCAATTTCGAACAGAGAACTGAAGCGGTGGATAGTTAAGGGGCGGTATCATCGGGAGGGGAGAATTCAATACGACGCTGGGAGCGGCAAAGATCTCATTTGGGACTAAGGGGAATTCCCCTCGATGTTCCACTAGGAGGAAGCTGAGCTCCTTCTGAGCTCTCCCGTGGACCGCTCCCGATTCCTTGTCGAGCCCGCGAGATTGATCTCTCTGCGCGGATGGCGGTCGCTCGGAGGACGCGTTTTGATCTGAGATAATCCATCGAGCATGAGTCGGTGAGTTCAATTCCAGGATGCAAGTCGCCGCAATCCGAAAGGAACTTGACGGATAGTGTTCGCATGTGTGCGGTCTCACATTGAAGTGAATGCGGATGATTCGGGTGCGTAGCTGAATCGTGCCCGTGACAGATCATCTAGAATTCCGGAAGATCTCTTGAGTGATCAGGCAGGTATCGAGCAGAATTCCCTCGAGCACGGCAGAGCCTCGAGTCGAGATCTATCCTAATCGTATTTCATAAGAAGTCTTTCCTTCTTATTCAGAAGAGGTCTTCCTCATCATATTGATTCTCCGCGAACCCCCGGATGTTTTCAGCTCCTCAGGATTGAATGGATGCCCAACCTTACGAGATTGTCGTGCAGATCACTCAGGATTATTGAGAGTATACTTGGAATTCGAGAGGGCGATATTCTCAGACAATCTGCGACGCTGACGGGAACCTTAGGAGCGACTTCAAGGAAATTGATCGGACAACATCGATGGGGTCGGAGCAGACGGAGGTCACTAAGAGACGAGACTTGGAATGCTTTCAGTACATAGCCTTTGTTTCCGCTAGGACTCAGCCCCAACGCTGTTGATACTTCCTCCTCATGGCCTTTTCTTTGTCAGCAGGCGAGATTGACTCTTCACAGAACTCTGAGCGGAACATCACGTACTCGACGTGTCCATTGAGACACCACGGCAGCGGTGTCGACACAGCGACTGCTGCGATTCCTCGGGTAGGCTTGAATCAGAAGGGAGGATTTGATACAAGGGGAATAAGGTAAGCAGGGCTTGCGTACGATAAATACACTTCCTTTCCGTTTTATTATCCGGTGACCGAACATCGCTCGCCAACCAGTTCTCCATACAGGGTAGGTTACCGTGAACACACCGCCATACAGGGTATGTTTGGGTTTTAACAGGTTGCTCCGTCTACGTTTCACGATATTTTGTGGCGCCGGCATTTATACATTAGGCAACAAAAGAGTCCAAGAAACAATCCAGATGGCAATGTGGCCGGCAGATAAGAAGAAGGCAACGACCATCACAGGGTATGCCCAGCCCGGGGCGATTTAGTCCTGCACGCGAGTCGGCATTGGGCCTCCTTTGCTAAACATTTGCGGCCCTAACAACAAGAATGTCGTTGAAGTAGAGGGTTTCACACAGCTTGCCAAGCAGATTCGATAAGTTGTGGATCCGATCGAATGAAATCGAAATCTCTCTGAGTCACAAAGGTTTTTGGAAAGAGCTGCGGACGAGATAGAGTAGATATTGATTTACATAAAAATAAGACTCGATCTGCATTCCTTATGTACTGACGAGAATACCGTCCCAATATTGGAAAGCCTCATTTCCCCTCTCTCCTCCACTAATCTCACATTCCTCCGGTATATCATCCAACAATGAGTGGACATAGTTAATGAAAGCGCTCGGAGGATCCGGATATGATTAAAAATTACTTTTTGAAACCTCGGAAACCTTCACTTCTTCTCATTAAATCAATCAAAAATATCAACAATTCCTTAGATCTCTGTTTGTTCGAACATGATATCTTCTTCATGGGATTACCGCTTGAGAGTCTCTCAAGAGCAATCAGCACCGAGAGTAAATTCTTCGTCGCCACGCCGTGACGAGCGAGTTTGCCGCAGCGGTGAAGGGTGGAGCCATCAAATACAGCCAAGACCGCGACTGAAACTCTGCAGATCACATAATTCGGATGGATGGGATTATCTATCTGACAAATGTTCCCCGGATCCAACTCTCCTCTGCCCGAGCTCGTCATGAGTTCCGAGAACGGGAAACGCTCGCACCAGGAGCTGGACTCCGCAGAACTTCTCACTTCATCTGTTCTCAGCGAAGTCACCGATATGAGGTGCGGGTCTGCGATAGAATGGCAAGAGCTCAGACATAAACACTCCTTCTTCCCGACTACTCTCTAAATCACAAAACCGGAATCTATTCTGGATTGTTGAGGGACGCATTTGTTATGCTTAGGTTTCTTCGACAGCCACTGAGATGACCGTGGACCGAGCTCGCTGACGTCACGTCTCGACCTAAGTGCAGCGGGTTCGAGAGCTCCGCTACATTGTTCCATTTTTCACTTGGTGTCTGATGTCGGGCTGGAATCGGACGTGGGTATGTATATTCAAAAGCGTCGAGGAATCATCCTCGTCCTTCCGCCCAGAGGTCCGTCCGTATGGAGGCTCGGAGCTTCTGAAGATTGCACACCTTTCCTCGGATAGAGCTAAAGGACGATAGAGAGGCAAACAACTGACTGAGAACGATGATTCCTGGCACCCTGAAATGGTTAGTCTTCACACGAAACTCCTGAGACCACCGTCGCTGCCACGGCAGCCGCATTAGAGACTGAAGCGGCAGGCTGAACCGGAGCTAGACTCTGAGTGACGGGTACTTTCGTTTCCTGAGGCAGCCGAGGAGTTTCGGGCGGCACCGAGACCACAAAAGACTCCAATAACGAGTGCCGGGATCCCTCGAGGTCCTCCGGTGCACAGAATGCTCCGATGAGTAAACCTGTCAAAATGCTTTATGGTAACAAGTCTCCACGTAACACACAATGACGCTGCAACGGCCGAGATGTTCGACCCGATGACTGGTTCGCTCCTCTCTGGGCCTGCGGACAAACCCTAGGCTAATGCTCTGCTAACACGGTCAGCTTGCGTATCATCATCAGCCATGGGGTCGAGCAGCTTTCCGGTTTCGCTCCTCTGTTTATCACAAAGTTAATTACCTCCAGCCACAAAAAAACCACCGGAGCAAAAGAGTGCGAGTCCTACGATCTGACAGGTCCGTAAAATCTTGTTAAACGTAAGAGCCGACGTTCGAATGAGTTCGATACCGTCCTTATCGCCAAGCACCGGTTCCTGTCGAGGAATGCCGTGTCCAACAGCCAGTAGGAGCACCGAGATAGACATGAGGACTCCACCTGCAGCGGGACACATACGTATATGAAACCTTCCCTTCCACTCCAGCTCGTTCTCCTTCCCAGCGAAATAATTTCCCCGATCATCCTTTTAGAGCATCGAACGAGAAGAAAACGTGAGAATCCAGTCCAGTTGGAATCTCGTCTCGAGGACATCCATGATACTTGAAGACCCCACTCGAGTTGAATTTACCCGCGAAAGCGATTCCTTTCCAAGCCGGTAGTCGCAAGAGTCTCCTCCGCAAGGCGGTCTGATTCTCGAGAATTACACCATCGGCACTCCATTCGTCGACCTCTTCGTTATAAAAGTTTTCAAGATTGTCGCGCACTCCGAAACTTTTCTTTTTCTTGCGGCTTTTTCTCGAGCTCTTGCGTCTCGGTGGACTCTCCTCTTGAATTCCTTCGGAGAGCAATCTTTCCTGTTCGGCGCTCATCTGGAAACGAAGAACCAAAGCTTACAGAATACACGTCCGCCTTAGAGATTCGAATGTCCCCCGACCCCGCTGAGTTGCTCTCGCCGCATCGGTCTCTCTTTAGGTCTCTGTTCTACGGCTCAGTCCCTTGATTTCAATTAGAGCTCCCTAGTGACTCTCGGAGTTGGAATCGAAATCCTCGAGGTACTCCTGATCCCGATCACATATTCGCTCGGTGCTGCTCCGAATCCATGGGAGCAATTCATTTCAGCCCATAAGTCAGGACTAAACGAAGCTCGGAGCGCCGAGCGGTGGAAGCGCGCGTGGGCGATGATTGATTTTCCGAAGGTGGAGTACGACTCACTGTGACATTGAACAAAGGACAGCGAGGACTTTCGAGAATGTCGCCGCTTTTTTCAGCGTAATTTACGCTGATTCCGGCTGAAAGTCGGGCATGAAGTGGCTCCGCAACCCTCTCCCGACAAGGACTCTATGTATCTTTCGGTCAAACAACAACAACAACAGAAACGAGGCTCTGAGGACTTACCGCGAGCTTCATTTTCCGCTAGACAGTCTCACCAACGAGTCGCGACCACCTGTGGCACCGTCAGCCGCTCCATGACAGCGAACCCCACGTAAACTCGTTCCTGGACGACGTTCCCGCAACCGGAGTGGGAAACCTGCGCCTCCGTCACCGAATTTCCCCCGAGTCGGATATGTTTCGCACGCTGCCGCAGGATCTGCACGATTTTCGTCGGCTAGGTCAGCAAGGTCACTATGTCGACGGAGTTCCGTTGAAACGACGTGTTGGTTATCGGTGCCCTGATACAAATTAGAATATCACAGAGCACCTCTCCGCGCGCTGGAAGGCCGCTTGACAGTGGCTGAATTCTGCGGATAGTCAGCGCATGCGCACGCGTGACGTCATGCGGAGAGAGGCTGTGCAGGACGTCGGACCCACCGACCGACGGTTGGAGGGACGAACGAACGGACGGAAAGATGGACTCACAGACGGTCGCACAGGGCACACGACTCACGTACTGACGGCAGTAGGTAATAGTTTTTTCCCCAGAGAACTCTCCGATAGCTGGAAATACGAGCTGGTTTAGTCTGCCAGTTTCAACTCAACTATAATAGGCACACACATACACACGCTGACAAACAAAGGAGCTTACGAAGAGCGATCAAACAAACAGCGAACAGATAGATAGACAAATGAGTCCGGGAGAAGAATCGCAAGTAGTCTCCTGTAGGGGAAAGGGTCGGAATACCGGCGCACCCCCCAAACAATGCTCATCGATAATTCTGGACCACTGAAAGTCATTGACTGGTGGTCGTTCCAAACAGCTTCCAAACGGTCGCCTAGAATCGGTGATGCTCTCCCTCCCGTCCGCGAGCAACAGCATCGGCATGAGAGAGTACGCGGCAGAGAGTGCTCGATTCCCCGCTCTGCGAACTCCTTCCCGGGAAATCGACTTCGGCGATCGGTGACGAGGCATTCTACTCAGGAGGGCTCGTCTTCACTTCCCGGGGAAGCGTCCACCTCTATTCTCCCGCGAAGCTTCGAGGAATAAACTCGATAGATATGCCCCGTTGGATCATCGCCAGGTTTTTCACCAATAATTCTTCCAGGCTCCAAGAGCATTGGCAGAACCACGTTTCACGTCACTAGAAAACATGCCCCGAATGGGAAATTTCACGCTTAGTGCCAATCGACTCAGGAGCTCAACGAAAAGTGGGGAGCTTCCCCGCTGGGGCATCAGAAGCCGTTTTCTGTGGGAGTCCCCAGAACCTCCTATGTTCGCAGGGATAATGATGCTGCACTTTCCTCTGTTCCCGAAACCGATCGACTGTCCGTTCGAGTCTTGATTCCGTTCTAGAAAGTTCCACATTCCTTTGCTGCTTCCGAGACCCCCTCGCCACCCTATCCTTCGCAGACGGCTAGGACGGGCTACAACGCTTATGGCTGTGAATTTCCATGAGCTTCGTAGCCTGTCCATGGTTTTGGATACAGAACTTTGTAACATCCAGCTCGTGCTCTTGCACTCATTCGGAAAACAGAACTATTTGTGTATCATAGCTGCTCCCGCTCTCACACCTTCGATTTCTATTCATTCCACGGAGCCAAGTTTTTATGCAGTTCTGGCAGCTATGCAGCTTCGAAAAAGTTCCTTGCTCATCCAGACAGTGGGAGGTGAGGTCGAGTCGAGACGGTACCTATAAGACTCTGCCGCGAGGCATTCCTCGATTCTGCGCTCACGACCCTCTCTCCGCTGTCACGCGCAAGAATTGAGCACCGTAGACGCTTCTGATGGTTTCTCGAGAAACTTTTGTTGCCATATTTCAGAGCCCAGGTAGCAATTTAGCAGTCGACGGCCCGCCGAAAGTCCCTTCCGGCTGATTATGGCACACGGCAATGATGAAATGTCTTCGGGGTAGGTCGAGCAGTCGAATTTTCTCCGACGTAGAACGATACCCCATTTTCCTCCGGGGATATTCTTGCAGATAGTGAATTTCAGCTCGAAGCACGTGTGAGCCAAGAGGTCATACGACATAATTCATAAGGATCTTACGATGAGAATCCGGGCCGAGCCAGGGCGCGGGGAGAGTCAACTCAGCCGTGACGGTCGCTTCGAGTTTCCTTGGTCGTCTCTCAAGCTCTTCTTGCCCTGCTATCCGGGGAGCTTGGAAGGACGGGAAATCAGCGAGTTGGATGTGGATCAGAGCTATGTACCGCTGCTTAGTCGCATAGAAAAACGGACTCCTTGACTTTGCATCGGTCGACTGCTCATTGGCGATCATCCTTCCCTAATTGACCCACCGGGTGCATTCAATTCAATCGAACCTCGCTGCAATGGCAACTTCCGAGGGCACAACGAAGGTGACCGAATCGCTCGACTCGATACTCCGACCAGAATCCTACGTCGAGAATATGGGACTTAGAGGTGCACGGTCCGTTCCGTGTTCATATTGAGAAGGCTCCTCCGCGGGCTTACGACGACGGAGATCGTCACCTGTCAGGCCTGGAGTTGAAGAGCGCAAGGCTGCGAATCCAGTTTTTTTTCACGGCAGAGAATAACGACAAGACAGGAGCTCCCATTTAGGAGGGTGTCCTCGTGCGTGGGCGTTCCTGTCTTGGGCTCGCTCGAGGCGTATGAGTTTTTCCCTCCTCAGATTTCGCTCCACTTAGTCATCGGAATTAAGCGCGTTTCCCGTCGCAGAATTATTCCGCGATCGAGGACGGCTGACAATGTCTGGCGAACAAGAGGCAGAACGATGGTCTTGTAACCAACAACAAGTTAAAGTTTTTATTGATTCGTTCAAAAGTTGAGAGGCAGGGCAAATAATAAATAATAGCGATCGTCGAAGTTATGATGAGGTATTTTCGGACACCTCGCCAAAAATGTTTTTTTCTCAGTGTGTGAGCGTGATTTCGTCTGTCTGTTCCTGTGGGTGTATGCGTGTTTGCTGTTTGTCTTGGTCTTCCGCGTGTGCACGTCCCACTCGAGTATAAACCGCATGAGCTGTAACAGGGAATATTTACAGATGAAGTTTCAATTGAGTTCTTGTCAATAATAGTATTGTCAACACGACGTTTCCGGTTATTAATTGCTCTCTCCACACGTTCATTCGCTTCGGATGATACGCTCCTGAGTGATCGATGTCGGTGTTAGGGAGGACGCTGCTGACTTAGAGGCACATTTACACAATTGACTGAGTGATATAACTGTTGTTGTTGTAATCGTCGCCATCATTGCTGTCACCGAACTTCCCGAGAAATCCAGAGCCGGACCCGGTTGACCAGCTCAAAAGAATCCAGTTTCGCTCATTCTTTCGATACTTCGTTGCATTCCTCATATCGCGATGCCGATCGCGGCGCTGTAGGTGCTCCGAGAGAGTTTATGAGCAAGACTTCGGAGCGGAGATACCCTCTGTTTTGAAGACGCGTAGTAAATTTGGCATCAACCTCGGAGTCTCTCGAAAGCTCATGTCGCGCTCTGCTGACTCTTGTCTGGATTGTAAACGGGCTGGGGAAAATCGGTGACGGGCGTGACAGAGGGTCGTCCCGTTGTTTTAGATAACAGGCTCAGGTCGGTGAAGAACTCGAAGGGAAAACCTTTTTCGTAGCCGTCCGAGACCGGGACGGCGTTGAGCATTTTCAGAGGAGGTCTCGGCGTGGTGCTCGTGGCCATCATCGCTTTGAACTTGTACCACGAGGTTCCTCCGGCTCGGTTTGAGAAAACTTTCAAAACGGGTTTGAATGTCGAATAAGACTGCTGGGAGGCCGAGGCGGTCATGTTTTCTTTCTCGGTGTCGATCACGATGATTTCGTCCTGTCGATCGTGATTCAAGGAGATATCGCTGTGCGGGAGGAACACCGGGGCGGGGCTCACGGTCGTTTCCTTGGAACCGCTCGTCGTGGGGAACGTGAAGAAATCGAAAATCTCGTCTGGTGTCGTCGGAGCCTCAGTTGAGCTTCTCGCGGTGGTTGAAGACCTCTCTGTGGCGGAAGCTGGTTTCGCCGTTGTCGTCGTCGCCGTCGACGCCGTCGCTGGAGACGGCGTGGTAACCGGACCGGCGGCGGACGATTGTGTGTTTATAAGAGCAGATGTTGTGGAAACGGTGGAGGGCGTGGTTGACGCAGTCATCTCAGTTGTCGTCGTGCTGAGATCTACCGTCCGCATAACCGGGGGAGACGGGGGTATAGGCGTGGTGGTGTATTTGGCATAGGCCGTCATTTCGTGCGGCACGTTCGTCGCCATAACTCTGGGAGGGAACATGTTTTTCTTGTAGAGAGGAGCACTCGTCACCTCGAGACGTTGGGGCATTTTATGCTCGAAGTTCTTTGCGTTCGGAGTCACTAGATTGTGATAAACCCTCTTGCTGGGGGACGGTGTCGTCGAAGTCGTTGAGAACGTTTTCGCTGTCGTCGTACTCGGGGTTCCCGAACCGGTGGTGATGTAGTTGAACTTGATGGGGAAATGAGTTTCGTAACGAGGAGGCTCGGACGTGGTCCCGTACCAGACACGTTTCGGCGTCGTGGTGATGCTGGGCAGTGTTGTTACGTCGGATCCGCCTTTGAGGTGGACGTTCAGCCCTGAGTCGCCGTGAGTGACAACTTCGATCATTGAGGGCGGCAGAGGCGTCGACGTCGAGGGTTTGGGCCGGCGTTTCTTCGTTTTGTTTCGTTTCTTCTGATTCTGCGAAGGGAAAGGACAGAGGGAAAAATTAGATATTCGGCGATTGGACCTTGAAAACGAGCACAAAAATCAGGATGTGACGCCTCGGAAGGGCTGCCTGGGGGACATCGACGCGGAATGCCATGGGCGGTGCCGCGACATTCCGCGTTCGAGTTTCGATGGTGATCGAGGATCGGACAACTGGAAAGTCTCAGACTTCTAGCCTTCCGGAACTTACTTTCTGAGACAGGGTTCCATCTTCACTCTTTCCGGATTCGAGGTGGGCCGGCATCGGGGGAGGCTGTCGCACAGCCGGGATCGGTCTCTGAGTTCCTTTGCCCGCATCGGGAAGACCTCCGAAATCGAGGAATTTATTCGGCGTAGTTGGCCTGAAGCCGGATTTAACGGGGAAATAACTTCCCCGACTGAAAGTCAGCGGCGGAGAAGCGTATCCATCCACTTGCGGACTGAATTGCGTTTGCGGAATCAGGAACTGAGGGGTATTGAACGAATTCACTTTCGGAGCCGGATCGCTGAATTTGGGGAATTTCTCTGGGTTCCTCGCTAGATGTGATGGATAAGGGATGCTTTTCCCGCTGTCGTCGACGGCGTTGCTCGGGGCGGGCTCTCTCTTGACTCCCGGCGGGGTGACCTCGCTGATATAATCGTTCGGATGGGTCAGTCCACCGGCGGCGGAGTCCATGGGTCGGAACGAGTTCCGCATTTGGTTGAGAACCTGTTTCGGGTTGGCGGGTCGGAGCCGTTCTGGCGGGAACGACATCGGAGTGGCTTTCGAGCCCCCGCTCGAGGTGTCCTCGATCGAGTCTAACGTTACAGTAATTTTTCCCGGCGTCATCGGAATGTACGAAATAGCCGTCTTGTCGTCTTCTTCCACTACCTCGGCGCTCTGTTGGAATCCTTGCATGCCCGGCGGGAGATTCGGGATCATTGTGTTACCGTTGGGTTTGAGTCCCGTCTGGGAGAGGGTTCCCGGAGATGGGATAATATCCTCACCGCTGCCGCCCATCATCATCTGAGGCTGTCCGGCCGAGTTATGCTTCGGTTGAATCGGTTTTTGGAGGCTCGCCTGGCTGAAGAACTGATTGGGAGACATTCCCAACTCGGATGGGACCTGTCCCAGAGACGTCGCTGTGAAAGTCAAGTGGCCTCCAGCATTCAGAGGATTTCGGTTGCGCGAAAACAGATTTGCCCCTGGGCCGCCACTTAGGGAACCGATCGACGGTACCCGAATCGAACTCGAAGCCTGATTCCCGAAAGGAGTCTGCGGGGGTCCGGACGCGAATCGAGCGAAGCTTCCGCCGAATCCCGGGAAGGAACTTTCCGATGACAGCTGATGATTAAAACGTCCGCCGTAGAATCCGGGCATCTCGCTGAATGACGGGTTCATCGACGACGCCGAAGCGAAGGGGTTCGAAGGACGGTTCGATTTCCTCGAGAAAATGCTCGGTAATCGGGAGAATATCGACTGCCTCCGCTGTCGTGATTTCGCGACGTTCGATGCGCGATCGTCCTCCGCTTTAATAGCGAAATCGATGTCATCGCCAACGTGGTGATGATCGACGACGGGGGTGATATCAGCGGACCGGCGCTTCCTCGAATGAATATGGTGCACGTGCTGTTCTTGGAAGGGGTTGAATCCGGAGGGAGTCTGAGGGGCTGCACCGAAGAACCTGCAGGATCGAGGGTTCATAAATGTTAGAGTTATCGTAGAAAACTGATAAGGCTCATAAGAAGACGAGCACGACGATGACGTCATGGGACAAGAGATTGGGAAAGGGGAAGCGGAGGCTTTAGTCGGAAACTCATTCCGAACGGTACAACATGGCAGATCCCCTCCTCGCCCCCCCCCCGCCCCGAATCCCCAGGTCTGAGACATCAGTCGACTAAATTATCCCGGATAAGGAAAGTCTCTTACGTTTGAGGACTGCCTGACGTGGCAGCTCCGAACAGACCTCCGTAGCTGGTGTCATATGTCGAGACCGGTGAATAGCCGGGACTGGTTTGATAGAATCGCGACGGAGGCTGTGGGTAAGCCGGACTGTATTGAGGCTGTTGCTGCTGCTGCTGATGATGGTGGTGGTGGCGGTGTGGCTGTTGCTGCTGCTGCTGTTGCCGTGCCTGTTGTGGGGCTTGGAAAGGAGTCTGTGGACTCTGTTGAGTGTTCGGGAACACGTAATCGAATTGCGGGACTTGACCCGACCCGGGGACTTGGCTTGGGAATTCAGTTTTCGCGGCGCCTCCCGTCGGTCCGAAAGATTGGCCAAAATGACTCACAGCTTCGGGACCCCTGAAGAAATGGCTTTCAGTGCCGCCGTTCAAGTTCTGTCTCCCTGGATCAAAGTCTTGTTTCGGGGGGAACGGGTCCGAGAACCGGATGGCGTCCTGTACTGGTCTTGGAGTTGGGAATTGCTGGAGTTGGAATTGAGGAACTGTCGGTGGAGGAGGGGGAGTGAACTGCGTGGGGAACCTCTGAGGAACCGGATGATTCATCTGCTGATTCACGAATTGAGGGACTTCTTGTTGCGCTACTTGAGGTGCGTGGAAGTGTTGGACAGGGGGTTCTCGAGCATGCTGAGTTGGGGGGAATCGTTGATGGGGAAATCCCTGAGGTTGCGTGAATGCGGGAGGTTCTTCCCCAAAATGTTGTTGCGGAGCCGACGGAGGTACGTACGCCGGTTGGGCCGGGTTCTGGGGCGCAGGCTCCTGAGGTGGGAAGGTTCCCAAGGGTCGCTCGGCGCTGAACATGCGATCATATTCGGGCACCTCGTTCTTGGCGGCTTGAGAGGGTGGGCGATTCTTCTTTCGGTGTCTCTTTGGTTGTACGGGTGGGGGGCGATAGGTTTCTTGTTGTGCAGGCGGTACACGCGACGGCACAGTGGGTCGGAGACCGGGCACTCGAGGAGCGGTTAAATCGGTAGATTCGACCGGGACGCGAGGTCTGGACTCGAACTTCGGGGGACGAGCGACCAGAGATTGAGTTTGGGTGCGAGGAGGCGTCTGGAACAAGAAATTTACGTGATTTTATAAATCTTCAAGTCTCGCTAAGGATCCATATATGACCGAGGGAATCAGTCGCAAACCGTCGGACTTTCCGCACGAAACAATTTGAAGCCTCGAGTTTCACTCACGTCTGGTCTCCGAGGCTCAGAATGACGATCAAGATGCTCTGGAGGGGCGGGCTGAACCACCGACGTAGTTTGCGGCTTACGTGACGGTCTGGATTTCTTCTTGAAAGTCGTTGTCTTCTTAGCGACGGGAGCGTCGTCGGATTCGTCCTGCGGCTTGGGTGTCGGTGTAGGTCTAGGTTTCCTCTTCCGTGATGGCTTTTTCACTGGATTAGGTTTCTCTTCCGTCGCCGGGGCGGATGCACTCGGAGCTTCCGTAGTCGTCGGCCTTGAGAGTTTCGAGCGGATTTTCGCCCTTTTCGGGGTCGGAGTCGTCGGACGCTCGGTACTCGCAGCCAACGCCGCCGCCGCTGTCGTCGTTGCCGCGGGCGCCGCGGGAGTCGTCTCGGGTTCCGATACTCTGCGTTCGAAACTCACCGAAGTCGTGGCCTCGGTCGCGCTGACTGTCTGCTCGATATTCTGAGATTCGGAAGTGGCGTATTCGGGGAACTTATACTTCTGTTTTATGCCGTAGAGCTGCTTGTTCAGGTGGAAAAAATTCGGAGAGTCCACGCAAGTGTCTTTCGCTATTTTGTCGTAGTCGCAGATCATGAGTTTTTGGTTGAATGTTGAATTCGGCGGACAGATGAACGAGAAGCGTTTGCCTTCTTTCTTGCAGTAGTGGAAGACTTCGCATCCGAATTGTAGATCGGCGTAATATCCCTCGAGCCTTCCGTGGCAGTCAAATGTGATGTACGGGAGCAGTTTCTGCAGAGGGTCGGTTTTGGGCCGGGCTGCGAGGGGATCGTCGTCGTCATCGTCGTCGTCGTCGTTGCCACCGCTCGTCGTGTTCTGCCGCACCTCGGCGTTCTTTCAGAATTGAGGGAAGAAAAAATAAACTTTACTACACGCTTTTCTATTCCAGCGAGCGAATCGTGAGATTATCGCAAGTCACGCTCGTGCAGACAACGAGCGGACAAGTCAGCCCTTCCTGTCGGAAACGATCGATACAACCGTGGACACGCTCTACGTCGATACGGAATGAGCGAAGCGAAATGAGCGCTCCGCCTTGACGTCGCCGCCGCGGCTGACGCTCCCAGTTAACGCGACGCTGCGGCGGTGACACTGGGGCTGATATGAATCGTTTCTTCGAGCGTCTGAGGTCCGCTCATCCGCACCGCATTTAAGCGCTAATTCAGTCTTAACTAACCAAGCGGACGAGCGAAGCACAGGACTATTGAAGCAAATAGCGTTTCAGATAGGTACGGTGAGGCTTCGGAAGAGCCAACCACCGTATCTCGACGGCGAAGGGGACGAACTTTCTCTTCGATGATTCTACCGGATGGATAACATGCTCTATTAAAAGCGTTTCCTACTTCGCCTCGCTTTCTGGTCATCCTTTCCTTCGTTCGAGTTACAGGTTTCGTATTTTCGTTCTTGCCCTCCCGTGGGGACTTCTTTTCAGTCAAGGAGCCAACCGTCTTGTCAGCGGTGCGGTCGAAAGGAGATTCTGCCCCACTGAGGTGAACAGGAGAAAAGTTCCGAGAAACTTCTTTCTTAAGATCGGTGCAGCGACGCAATTTTTTCGAATGGAAGCCCATTAATTCTCTCGCGGAAAGGAACTCCCAAGAACAATTCTTTTCCCCAAAGGAATTCACTCCAAGGCCGCGCTACATTCCGTGAAAAAGGCCCAACAATTAGGTCGATGATGCTTTTGGGTGCCCGCGGTTCGAGCTCAGGTGGAAATTCCCAAAAAACGTCGTGAATTTGGACTCACCTGTGAAGATTGAGGCTCGATATTATCGTCGCCGTCGTCATCGTAGTATTCCACTGACTCATCGTTGTCGATCGCCGCCGCCGTCTCGAGCACGGGACTGACTGCAATGATCAGCGTCAAATCTTAGCTTCCGCATCCGATCTGAGATGGTGAATGAAAAGATTGGAGACATAGCGGTACTCGTCGTCTGCCTTCGAGGAGCGTCAACTTCCGGTGAGGGAAGCGCGAATTAAGGCATTTGGTTGCAGAGAGCAGAATATCGGATCCGTCTCTGGAGCGACCTCCACCGACGTCGCTCTGCTTCCCAGGGTAGGGAAACCTGAAACGTGTCCTTAGCACCTCCTGCGTATATACGGATATACCTATATTAGATACTTGCCCAATAGGAACACGGCGATAACGCAAACAACAGAGCCGAAAGCCTTCATTTCGGCTGTTCTCAAATTCCGTTCTCCGATGCTCAACAGTCGACCATTATCCTTCCCGTGCTGAAAAGACGAAAATGGGTGAAGTGTTACTCGATCGCAGAAAAGACTCGACCTGACCTCACACCTACCGCCGCGTCTTCTGCCAGGGAGGAATCGCCTATAGTGGATTACATCGTTAATCGTAAGCAAGCTATGCCGAACATATTAGCATTTTCAATCTCGCAACCTCGGCCATCCGCTCTCTAATAATACTTGATCCTTTAATCAATTTCCTCTTCCGGAATCGTTAGAGTTCTAGAAAGTGGGAGGAAGATTATGAATCGTCGCGAATTCCGATTTCTGTGGCTCAGAGCCATCGGTATCGAGTCAATGGGTCTGAGTGAGTCTCTGACAATGGAAAAAGAGTTGAGAGCTTTGCCCTTTTCCCGGCTTTTATCATGAACTGGCTCAGTCCCCTCAATCGGCGCGTCTGCGTCCTTGGATTTTATTCCTGCGAAAGGATCTCGGCTCGGCATCTCGAACCGATATTTTTCCGCGGTAAATTGTGCTGTGCGCTTCGGGTGGCTACGGCACGACTATTATTGTTGTCGTTGTAATTATTATTACTATTATTATCATTTTTATTATTATGGGTATTCTTGTGGTTATCGACATCGCCGCCAACACCAGCGTCGTCGTTGCTGTCGTCACCAGCGGCATCACTTCCTGAAACCGCACCTTCATGAGAAAATGAAGCAGAATCCAGAATCTTTAGCGAATCCATCCATGTGAAATGCCGAAGCATCTGTAACGGATCCACCCCAATGAAGCGCCGCTGGTCGAGCGTCGGATCAACTTCCGCTAATTCTACGCCATGGGAAGAAGACCAACATGATGGTTGTCTTCGTCTCAGTCATCGCCGTTGTTTTCGACAATAACAGCCACAGAGATGAAGAACAAGAAATTAAGCAAGCCAAACACATCCGCCTCGCGAAGCCTCCCCCATCGAATGGATCGGCCAGTCTGCCAGCCGAGCAACCAACTGACGGACTGACGGTCGGAAGGACGGACCGACCGACCGACGAACGATCCAACCGACCGACGAGCTACGCATCGGACCAACGAACCTGTAGTCTATCGGACGAACAGACAAACAACTCTCACAGATAGCATAACGAACGTTTCCCGTGTGTTCCGAGAGGACCGGCTGGAAGCTAGGCCGGATCATGGAAAAATCCACGCTCCTCGTCGCTGCGAGGAAATTTTCAAGTTTTCGTCCTTGAGTGAAGCAGCACAAGCAATATTAGACTCGTTAGAAGCGCAGAACGCCGCCGCCCGCTCGATCGACTCGGATTCGATGAATTAGCCTCGGCGGCGGCGGCGTTCGAGTTTTTGGTAACTCAGCAGCGGCAGACTTATTGTCACACTGGTGAGTTCCATTCAGCTTCACTCGTTTCGAGCTAATTCATTGCTTCGATCGTAAGTCCGCCGCGTCGACGTCTACGCCAGCTATACTCCCTTTCCGTTCGTCAATAACCGTGGTGAGCGTCAATGGTGGCGCGTAGAAACTTGTGAATAAAGTTTTTCAAATGCGGGAGTGTTTGTCTTTCTTCTTGGGACGACCCGACGAAGAGTTCGATTATGCTGGCTCAATTTGCGAGATTAGTTGGAGTTCTGTAGCCAGTTTCCACGTCGCGCGTCGTCTCAGCGTCCAATGGCTGGATGTAAATAGCGAGTCGAGACGAAGATCACTTTGAAATGCAAATTTTGCTTTTGAGCAGCATGTTCTTTCGTTCTCGGCTTGGGCTTCGATTTTTCCTCGACTTCAACAATGAGAGAGAATCGCGCTGACACCAGATCAAGTTATCGCACTGTCCCTAAATAGGTCAACTTGCGAAATGGACGAGGAGTGAAAGTTCAAAAAGATTTTCCCCGTCGCACGCATACTCCATTCCCGAAGCCAAAAGATGAGCGATAGAGGAAGTCGAAGTCTTTGCTCAGACATCGCACGCCACTCGTGTATGTCGATTTATGATCGGAGATGGACCAAAACAAAATTTTGTGAATTCACCGGAGCTGTGAAAAATAATCGACCAGAACCAACAGCGATTCCTTGCTCAAGTGATAAGTGATAAGATCGGGGAAACATCGGCATTGTCGTCGCCTGCCCTTCTTGCCTCACTCAATGAGGTGCTGCCACGGAGGAGCGAAAAGCCCCATCGTTCATGCGCGAATCGGTCCCATGGGAAAGTCGCCGAAAGTGATGTGGGTGATCCACATCTACTACTCTTGATATGCGCTTCATAGTAGTGTAGGGCAAGTGGTAATTTCTGGCATTCGAAGCGTGTCGAAACTTTCTTCCGGAAAAAACGCACAAGATCTCATCGGCTTCAGTCTTCCACTCTCTTACGGACGTCTTCTTTTTCTTTCTCGCTCTCTTCATTCGCTCAGACCCGGACCGAATCAGAGAAGTCTTTGTGTGTTACGGCGAAAACTCTCGCCACCGAGCCGAAAGCTCGACACCAAAAATGAATCTGCGGTCCGGAGATAAACAAATATAACGCCAACTGGTACAGCTGGAGCCACCGTTACAATTGATGTTTATCGGGCCTCGGTGCTCTGGACGGCTGAAGTGTGGGAGACGAGAGATCGTACTTTTTCTCTCTCACGGACGCGGGGAAAAAAATCCGAATATCACACCTCCGCCCCCGATCCGATGTTCGCAAGATACGGACTTTCGTGAAACCGATGATGATGAACAAGGAGAGAAACGACGACGCCCCGCGCGCTGGAAGCTGGAAGACTCAATTTAGCGGTCGGGATCCGCACAGACTCTCGTGAACTCGAGAGATCGGGCTCGAGCCCACAAATGAATTTTCGCGAAATCGATAATCTTTGGGTGGTGATTTATATTGGTCATTTCGAGAGGAAATTTCAGAAAACACGGGAAAGGGGATAAGTCCGCGGTAGAGAAGCGTGCGAAAGCATTCTACAGCTCTGGAATAAGGTGGGAGGCACTCTCGGACTCTTGAGATCCCTGCGATGAGCTCATCGCAGGATTCTCGCTCAATTAATTACCCTGCTCTCGATTGGTATGTCCTGTTCTTTCCACGCGCCGCGCCGTTCCGACCGATATATGGCACCTCCTCCTTCTCCTGCCCGCGACCAGCAGAAATTCGGAAACGTCGCTTCACTTTCTCAGCCCTGTCGGCAGACTGACGCCTTCACGTTTTTTTTCGCACAAAAAAAGTTGTCTGGGACAGAAAGTGTCTTCTGTCCGTGCAAAGCAGGTCTCACCACTGCGGTGATACAATCTGCTTTATGAATAGGCTTCGGCCCCGTCAGTCGACGATGGCAGCTGCTATTTCGTTCGCATGCTTTCGTTCTCTGTAGATTCGGGGAAAAATGACGCGGGCACCAAACGCGCACACGGGAAACAAGGAAGGGGTCTATTTTCCGTTCACTTAGGAAGTTACGTCTTGAAAACAATGTGTACTTTACAAGGGAACTTCTATCCACTCACTCATCCGGAATATTTCTATCCGTTCACCATCTATCTACCTAGCTATCTGTCCATACGCATATTTTCACGACCAGACACGCACGAGAAAAATGAATCTGCATGTGAGAGCTATACTTCTCTGGTGTTTCCGCCGTGGTGTTCTCCGGCACCGCTGTCTGACTGTGTTTATCCGTTTTCCCATCTTCTCGTTGGTTGTTTTGAGCTTTCCCCCCGCAAGAATAAGAAAAGGAACAAGCAACACGAATATCTTACTTCAACGAGTGGAACAACTTTGAATTTTCGCGTCGGGCCCTTGTGAGAAATAAGTCTGTAACTTTTGTGAGAATCGCTCCCCGGATTGTTCGCGACCGCTCCAGAACACCTATCGAGGAAGAGCGGTATCGAATTCTCCTTCCGTCGCTTTCGGACGGCGCCCGGCAAGAGCAGCGGTTCTGAGCGTGAGTCTAATTGGAAGGAACTCATTTATTTAATGACGGCGCTTCTGCGCGGCGAAAAAGACGCGATAAAAAATTGATGAAAAAAAGTGAATCGGTTCCACCGGTCTTCTACGCCATAAATTCTGAATTTCAGCCTAAAAACTCGACATGCGAACAGGACTGCTGTTCTCGTTCGATTCGACGCGTATCGACCATTTTTATGCGCTTATCATCTCGATCTCGGGCCTAATCAATCGCTTCCGCGAGTGATATTCTTGGCGTGATAAACGTCATAAACAGCGCCGTTCCTCACGGGAGGAAGGAGTGTTCGTCGAATCGACAATCGGAAACAGAGATCCCCTGGAGCTCTGATTCAGCCGGGAAGAGAGATGCCTCACATCCGAGGGAATTACTCGGAATCAAAGACATACCCTCGAGGGAAGATCTCGGAATCGTCATTGGACCGATTCGCAGATTCACGACGCTCTGAATTTGAATTTTCCATTCTCCTGAGGATTCTAATCCGGAGCAACGTTCAACTCGGTCGCGTCCGACGGCTTGTACCGGGACGTAGCAGCTACAAAAAAAAAAACAGCGCGGTGAAGGCTTATTGATTCTGCGGTAATGAGCACGAGCTCCCAGAGCAAGGAACGAGGGAGAGGCTCCCGCAGGATGCGAGGACGCAGAAAGAACATCCACGTGAAGCCTTACCGCGGAGAGAAATCTCAAAGCTATTTGTGCGGCTTCAGCCTGTC